TTTGCACAGTTATTCTGAACACTGCATACTAACGCATTTCTTAATAGTATAGCAGCGGCAGTGGCAGTAATAATAGTACTAATATTAATGTTGATATTAATAATAATTATGACCACAATTACCGTCATAACATTAACAATAATGGTAGTAACAGTAATAATAATGGAAATTCTCTCGAAAAATCGTACATCCCTGGGACAGTCTCCCTAACTCATTTTCTGAATTCTGAGTGGAATGACAGCAAATAAAATCAGAACAATGCAATTAATTTTTGAAGCAACATCAAAACTCCTTTCAGGAAGAACAAATCGATCTTTTTCTACAAAGATCATGAGTAAATCAGATTTTAGATAGTTTGAAAGGGAAGCAAATGATAATAATTTCAACTTATCTCAGAGTTCTTTTAAATAACCAATGTTTTTAATTTATTCCAGAACTATGTAGTTAGCACAAAAAAAGGTAGGAGATGAGGAATGAGATTTTATGAGCATAAACCTAGAAATAACGAAGACTTGTTTGAATTGTCCGAAGGATGACAGGGAAAAATTTACAAAGGATAGAAATCTAAGAGTTCAAGCACAACATGCTATTGAACTCAAAAACATTTCCCGGCATTTTGGCCTCCTCCTCCTCTCAGAAACCTAACACTGATTAGCAAGTTACAAAACATCACAGATTTTAGCAAAATCATCAAAAGGTTCACTGGTTAAATTTGCAGCCAGTAAATAAATGACTTGCCTTGGAGACTGTACGCAGCAAGATTAATGTATTTTTCAAGGGCAACTGTTAGTTTTCCTTCCACTACGTCCAGTTTCATCAGAAAAAAGTAGTATGACCTGAAAATTAACTGCATTAATTATATATAAGCCCGATGATTTTAGTATAACAGTTCTGTGTTAGGCCGCCTGTCAAAAGCCAAAACCTCCTTTGTATCAACTTTCTATAAGAATCGCTCCAGAAATTATGCCAGCAGCTACCAACCCGCTGGCTAGACAGCCGATCTCCATCCATTTCAAGAATTGCTTGCAGGCATGCTGACGACGAATTTTGACTCAATGGAGTATGTCAGTACCAATTTTCCGTCAAAACGAGTAAACAAATCGTAGAGAGACTAGCTGTACCACTAGCCAAGCCTCAGAATCGGGCACCACAGGAATCGTGGTGCCCGATTCTAAAAAAACTAGTCTCGAAATTCGAAAAATTCTTCGCGAACTAAACAAACAGTGGTGTCTTGTCAACCAAAACGAAACGAATTAGGGAACAACCTGCTCTCTTCCTTGTTCGGTGTTTCCCGTTTTCTGTTTTCTCATGTAAAGCCAGAGGAGAAAAGTTGAATTAGATAGGGTCAATAAGCAAAGAATTATCCGTGACCTGGCCATCTGATCTGTCAGCGTAAATGCATTTGGGGTATGGTAGAGGACAGCCAGTTGCACTTGTCTAGGCTTGCAGGCCCACTTCTCCAGCTGTCGCCTCAACGGCTTATCGAGTTCCACCCAGCGCATCATACGCTTGTCCGGATCGTTAGTCTTCATTTGGTATCGCAATCCAAACATTTCTACCTGCAGTAAACAAATCAATATTGCAAACAAACAAACACATACTGGACCTCCCGCACTACTAGCAAATGAACATTTCCAAGTGCGGTAAATCATTACACACTGCCACAAGCAGTATACCTTCGGATATTTCTACGAACGGTAGGTAGGAAAACAGAACTTTTAAACAAATAAATTTTAGCAACAGAAATGGAAATTTGATTTTTTTTTTAGGGAGGAGGAGGGCAAATTTTCACTTATGAGAAATGCAAAATGGTAAGCTAGATGTTGTATCTCACGTTTTTAATGCAGAACGGAGCTGCCGAAGGCTGCATTGAAAATCTGGGAAAAGGACACCAGCTGTTTGGCTCGCATTAAATTGTATTCGAGTAGCTAGCTCCGTATATTTTCAGGAAGGAATTAGCACAATGATTTCTCATCACACAAATTTTTCACTGGTTGGCCCGCAAAACGGCATCCCTGGACTAAACTGGATTAAAAATGAACTTGAAGCATCAGCAATGCACAGCTCTATTATTACGCACGCCTTACGGACAACATAAATTTCACTGCAAACTGCATCGGCGAAATGAATGAGATGATGCGCTAATTACATGCACATCTTACTAACCCAGGCTGAAACGCACCAGGTGAGCCGGTGCGATCATGCGTTTTTGCACCAGACTTGAAATAATTTGGTTAACTGCATGAGTGGTTG